CTCAACACCCTGCAACACTACAAGGTGCTAGTGGGCAGCAGTAGGACAAGGTGGATGGATGTGCAGGGGCTGACCCCAGAATTAACATGTGAAGGGTGCCCCTTTGCTCTCATTCCTCATCTGCAGGTCCCGGATGGAGCAACAGTGGTGCTCATTCCTCAGCTGCACAATGGTGGCACTGTCTCCCAGAGACTGGGCCAGACTGGCTGCCCCTTTGGAGAGAGTGAGTCCCTTGGTTCAGACATGCCCATCTACCAGGAGCACCAACAGTGCTGCAGTGGCACAGGGTTAGATTCACTAGAACCCCAGGCTAGGCCAGCAGAAGTCCTGGCCATGGTATCTACCTCATCTGGGTTTCTCACCCCTCCTTGCCAGTGGGATAGCCAAATCTCTAGGCTGAACCAAGGTGTGGAAATTGTTGATGTCAGGATGTCAGGATGAGCAAGTTCCCAAGCCACCTCTTCCTTGTGCCCCACCTTCTCACTCCTCCCCAAGAGAAGTACAGGCTGCATATCTTAGGTTGCATGTTGAGGGCAGGAGTATGGGGCTGAGGCCAAGCTTCTGTGGTCTTAGACACCCCCATGCTGGAAGATGGTGAGGAGGGTGGAGTTCGGCTCTGGGACCTGGTGAAGGCCACTGAGGAGCCAGAAGGGGCCAAAGTTCAGCGCAGTAACCTCCGGGAACGAGAACGAGAGCGGGCACGAGCCAAGGCTATTCCTGAAATCTATCTTACACGTTTACTTTCAATGAAGGTTGGTGCTGCCTGGGGAGCCAGGCAACATAGCAGGGTTGTCAAGGAATTGTGAGTTGAGGAGGAGGTGTGGTTCTGATGAAACAGGAGTTAGCCTCCTTCACACCCTGCCTTCACATGGTCTTCATGCAGGGAACCTTGCAGAAGTTTGTGGATGACACCTTCCAGGCCATTCTTAGTGTGAATCGGCCCGTGCCTATTGCTGTTAAGTACCTATTTGACTTCCTGGATGAGCTGGCAGAGAAACATGGCATAGAGGATCCAGAGACCCTGCACATTTGGAAGACAAACAGGTACCTTTCCTGTTGACCCCTTTCCTTCCCACTGAATTTCAGAGGGATATGTCTTCATCATGACAGGGTAGCAAGTCCAAGACAGGAAGTAAGACTTTACAACATTACCCTGAGTTTCTGCCCTCACTCCCAAACCTAGACTAATAATAGGAGGGTCCAAGTTCAGGTCATTTGGGCCATGAGGATAGCTTCCGGTGGAAAACGAACCCTGAGTTCCCTGCTGCCTAGGTCCCCAACTCCGGGACAGACATCTTATGTGGAGGAGTGGGGAGAGGAAGTACAAGGGGAGGAGGCCACAATGGAAGGCCAGGCCTCATCTCCACACCTGACCTGTACCTCCAGCCTACTGCTGCGATTCTGGGTGAATGCCTTGAAGAACCCGCAGCTCACTTTTGATGTGCGGGTGTCAGACAATGAGGATGCCATCTTGGCTGTTATTGCACAAACCTTCATTGACTCCTGTGTGATCTCGGAGCATAAAGTGGGCCGGGTAAGGGCATGAGCAAGGCACCAGAGGCAAATAGAAGAAAAGTTTGTGGGGAAACCCAGTGCAGAGCCTGGATGCTGAGAGGGATGGCATCATGGAGGTATGAGATGGTGGTGTAGGTGGTTCTCCTACCTCCCTGTTTACACCTCTAACCTCCTCTACCTGGAGCAGGATTCCCCAGTGAACAAACTGCTCTACGCCCGGGAGATCCCTTGCTACAAGCAGATGGTGGAGAAGTAGGTATCAGAACCTTTGGGGCTGGGGATCAGGGATACAGGCTTTTAACCCTGCTGACTTCTCCAGGTACTATGCTGACATTCACCAGAGCTCTCCAGTGAGCTATCAGGAGATGAACTCGACTCTGGCTGAACTGTCTGGGGTGAGGTGTGGCCCAGGGTACCCAGTCCTCCACATTTAGGGGGAGAGTAACTGGCAGAGTAACAGTGGAGAGCTTTGGGTCTTGAGGTCTGGGATAAGAGACTTACTGCCCCCCCATACTATCCATAGAACTACACCTCTGCTCCCCACTGTCTGGAGGCTCTTCAAGAACTTTACAACCACATCCACAGGTATTATGACCAGGTGAGGCCATAGCACTCTTGGAATAGTTGTAGCTAAAACAATGACCCACAGAACCTCCCTGATGGAAGGATAGGTTTGGGGATGGCCCAATCTAGATAAAGGGAATGGAGGAAGGGAGCCATCTTGTGCTGGAAGGGCCCAACCTGGTCAGGTGTCCAGAAGAGCCCCAACCCCCTCACCCCGGGACCTTGTAGAGATGGAAAAAGAACTGGATGGCCCTGGGCTGAAGGGAAGAGGAGTGGGATTTCAGGCAGGTACACTCTACTGCCCTGACAGATTATCAGTGCCCTGGAGGAGGACCCTGTGGCCCAGAAGATGCAGCTGGCTTGCCGCCTGCAGCAGATCGCTGCCCTCATGGAGAACAAAGTGACTGACTTGTGAATGCGAGCCACAGTGGTCACCTGAGACATGCCAGATTGTAGAACAGTGAGCAGGATCCACCACCAAACTGCTGTATGACCCTGGCCAAGCAGTGACTGAGGAGGGGTCAGCAAGACTGTCTACCAACACCCGCTTGCCTTATTTCTAATTTATAATGATCCCTACCCTCTTTCTCACTGTATTTATTTGCTTGCTGGAAAATAACATCTGAAAATAAAATAGAAACACATCTTTAAAATAAAAGAAACAGTCCCAATCCACTACCCTGGGGCTGAGGTGAGAGGCATGAGTGAGGGTTATGGGGAAACCACCTGCATCCCTACCTTCTAGATATAGGATGCCACTTTTCCCAGTACCAAAGTTTACTCTGCAGACACACCCAGGCTCTGCACAGGGTTTCTCTACAAGTCTTTCTTTTATTCACCTTTGCCCTTGCTCCGACTGCTATAATCTGCCATCCTTGGGGAAAAAAGTATAAAGCCTTCCATACCTTGCCCTGTCCCTCCTTTCCTGACCTCTCAGGCCCTGCAGAGAGGCTGTCCTGTCCATCTATGCCAGCCCCATCCATACCAGTTCTTTCTTATGATAGTACACTGGACAAAGAGTCTTCTACCTTAGGATAAGCACTGTCTCTGCCAAGCCCCCTCCAGTTCCTTCAGAAGTTCCTGGTTGACCTCCTAGCTCCACTTTTGCCCCCTTTGTTCTCTTTTTTTTCTTTTTTTTCATTCCCCTTTATTCTCATCTAGAAGCAATTAGAGTGGGCTCTCTACCTCTTGCACTCTTGTCTTATTGTTTTAGTGATATATATATATATATATATGGATGGATGTTTTGCCTGCATACATGTCTGTACCTCCCTTGTGTGCCTGGTGTCCAGGAAGGCCAGAAGAGGGTGTCAAGTCCTATGAGAGCTACAGTTACAACATGTGAGCTATAATATGGGTGCTGGGAATTGAACTTGGACAATAGTAGCCAGTATTCTTAACCACTGAGCCAACTCTCCAATCCATTTTTCTTTTCTTTTTTTGGGGGGGGGTTGAGACAGGGTTTCTCTGTGGCTTTGGAGGCTGTCCTGGAACTAGCTCTTGTAGACCAGTCTGGTCTTGACCTCACAGAGATCCCCCTGCCTCTGCCTCCCGAGTGCTGGGATTAAAGGCATGCGCCACCAACGCCTGGCCTTTTTTTTTTTTTTTTTTTTTGGTTTTTTCGAGACAGGGTTTCTCTGTGGCTTTGGAGGCTGTCCTGGAACTAGCTCTTGTAGACCAGGCTGGTCTCGAACTCAGAGAGATCCGCCTGCCTCTGCCTCCCAAGTGCTGGGAATATCTTTTTAAAGATAAGGTCTCATGCATCCCAGGCTGGCCTCAAACTTGCTATGTGTCTGGGGATGACTCTGAATTTCTGGTTCTCCTGAGTATTGAGATTACAGGCACATTCCACCACAACTGGTTTATGAAGGGATGGAGATCAATCCTAGGGCTTAATACATACCTGGCATCACTCTACCAACTGAATAGACTCTTCCAAGTTCCAGAGTGGGTTTTCTAAAGAGCAAAAGTACTTGTCCACTTTGCTGGAACTCCCCAGTGACATCCATAGACTCCAGATGAGGTTCTCAGTTGTTTCCCCAGGTCCTAGCCTTCTGTATTGTGCCAGCATATGGTAGTCTCCTGTATTCTCTGTGTTTCCCGGAATGCTTCTGGGGACTCAATGCTCCCTGGTCTCTCAGGATACACAGGATCCTTTAGTTACCACCCAGCTTATGGTCACCAATTGCAGGGTTTTTGTTCTCCTGATCCACAGGAGGAGCTGCAAACATTGGTGGAGACAGTCATCAAGGTAGAGGTGGCCAGCTCTAGAGCTAGGAGTAGGAGACTATACAAGCCAATAGTGATCTCAAGGGCCTGTTGTCTCTGATGGGAGGAATGGGCTGCCTTAAGCTCTTGACCTTGATCCCCTTGGTCAGCCACATTTAGATCTGGGCTCCCACCTGTATGAGGAGGTCCTGTGAATTACAAAAAAAAGCTGGAATCAGGGCTTATAATAAGCAAAGAATGGGACTCAGATGGATTTAGCAGGGGTCACTTCCAGAAGGATACTCACATGGGTTAAGTGGGAAGTTCTAGAATACATCAAGTGACATACAGCATTTGGAGAGAGCTCATCCTAAGGATCTGGTCACCATGTCAACCACATTCTTTCATAGGAGTCTCCTCTCCCCACAGTCCTAGGGTGTAGGAGCTCCAGACTGCTCTATCACCATGTAGATGTCTTTCTTGGTTGGTCTTGGACTTTGGGGAATTGACCTAGAGGCTGAGTCTCTATTATAACCCCAGCTTGGTGGCCCCTTCTGTCTCTAGAGTATGGGTGAGACAGAAGGGTTCAGCTATCGGTGCACTGCCCCCTCCCTATGCTGCATACCTTGCCCACAGCTGAGCAGCTGGGAGGCTATTTATAAAGACGGGTGAGATCAGCGGCAGAGGCTATAAATGTACTGGCCACAGCTAGGCCCCACAGGAACAGTGGTCCAGTGCAACAGAGCTTTGGGCTGCAACACCAGGATGAGTGCCAATGCTGGTGGTAGTGGTGGTGTGGACTGTGGTGGCAGTAGCAGCAGGTATGACCAGGCTGGGGAGACGGAGGTCCCATACACCTTATGAGCTTACTGCCTGTGTCCTCCCTCTTCACCCACAGCTCTCAGACTTCCTGTGGGCCGGAGTCCTCGGGGTCTGAATTAGCTCCAGCCACACCGGCACCTCCGTTGCTACAGGGGTTCCTGGGCTCTGATGAGGAAGAGCAGGAAGATCCCAAGGACTATTGCAGGGGTAAGGCCTGACCTTGGCTGCATGTGGTCCACCAGATTGACACAGGGGTTCAGGACAGCCTGGGAGGAAGAAGTTGCCCAGAGACTAGGCCTCTCATGGGACAGATGATCAGCAGGACTAGGCTATCTTGAGGGATAGGAGAGAGACGCCCTACTCTGATCTATCGGCTTCCTTCTGCAGGTGGCTACTACCCAGTGAAGATAGGTGATTTGTTCAATGGACGGTACCATGTGGTGCGCAAGCTAGGCTGGGGCCACTTCTCTACAGTCTGGCTCTGCTGGGATATTCAGTGAGTAGCTGGGATCTGCCTGTGGGTTTGGTTGAGGCTACCACCATGACCATGTGAGTCTGGCAAAGACTGGTAGCCTATAAGGGTCTCCATATTACAGGCGCAAGCGCTTCGTGGCCCTGAAAGTAGTGAAGAGCGCAGGGCATTACACAGAGACAGCTGTGGATGAGATCAAGCTCCTGAAATGTGTGAGGCGCCTCCCCTACTGTTCCCAGCTTCTCAAACTGCTTTGGGCCTGGCAATGTGGGTGCAGGGCCTGCTGGGGCCCTGCAGAGTGGGGCGGGGCAGCTCCAGCTGGTTCTGCCAAGTAAGAGGACCTGGAGGGCAGACACCTAAAAGAGGCAGTTGCCTCTCTAAGTGGGCCCCAGCTGGACTGGGAAAGGGGGCAAGAAGTGCTTAAGAGGAGTTGAGCAGCTGGTGAGGAACAGGTTGGAGCCATCTGTGGCTCGTTGCCTTTTTGTTCCAGGTCCGGGACAGTGACCCTAGTGACCCCAAAAGAGAGACCATTGTTCAACTCATTGATGACTTCAGGATCTCAGGAGTTAATGGAGTCCGTATCCTTCAAAGGATGAGCAATATGGCAGTCAAAGGACCCCAGACTTCTGGTCTGCACCATGGGACTCAGCCCTTACAGAGACATCCCATGAAGCAACCCCACAATGCCCTTTGAGCATTTGTGTTTTTGAGTTGGGGTATCACAGTAGGACACTGCTGAATGACCCCCAAAATATAAAAGGCTGCTTTTGAGGCCTTTTGAACAATTGGGCAGACAGAAGAGTAAGGCTGGTCTGAGAGGCATCTCTAAGATGATAAAAGGTACCATCCCAACTGGCATACCTTTGCTGGTGACAGAAACACTATAAACAATAAACTGAGACAGTGATAGCCACCAAGATGGTCCAGAGAAAGTCCTGCTTTCCTGACCTCTGCACCACAGGAGCCTAGGCGCTCCTGTGCTGGAGGGTAGGTAAGCCTGTGCATTAGTTGTGTTGCTGGCTGCCCTTCACTCCAAGTCCAGATGTGTGCATGGTGCTAGAGGTCCTGGGCCACCAGCTCCTCAAGTGGATCATCAAGTCCAACTACCAGGGCCTGCCTGTACCCTGTGTTAAGAGCATTGTTAGGCAGGTAGGTGCTGCCCCAGGCTACACAGCTTGGCTGGGTGTGGCTGCTGGGGTTCAGCTATAGCTTTCACCAGGTGCTACATGGTCTGGATTACCTCCATACTAAGTGCAAGATCATCCATACGGACATCAAGCCTGAGAACATCCTACTGTGTGTTGGAGATGCCTACATCAGGCACCTGGCTGCTGAAGCCACAGAGTGGCAGCAGTCAGGGGCCCAGCCCCCATCCCGCTCCACAGGTACCAAGAGCATGTGTGGGGACTCTTGCCAGGACTCAGGCCACAATCCCTACCTGAATTCCCGTAGTCAGCACCGCCCCCCAGGAGGTCTTGGTAAGTTGTGGCACCCCTCTTTCCCTGTTTCCTTTTCCCATCCAAGGCAGATGAGCCATATCCTCAGGGCTGGGCTCCTCAGCCACACCTGTTCCACTTTATGAACTTCTGCAGTGTCATCACTAAATAGTTGGGTACATGAGAAAAGAGTGATTATACAAGAGTGGGCTATGTGCTCCAAACTGCTTCTGGTGACCCACTATCACTTCAATGGAAAGATACTGTGCCTTCACCAAATGGCTATTTCAGGCCGCTTCATCTAAGCTAGGAGTGGACAAGGAGCAATTTAGGGCAGGCCCACCACATTCTCCCAAACAACAAAGCTTTAGGGAGTAGGAAGATAGGAGGAAAGGCAGAGAAATGGATGAGGGGCTGGCACTAAGGGTGAGACAAAAGGTAGTACCACCATTTCTCTGACACCCCCATAGGAGTTAGTTCTGGGGTCCAGGGCTAGGCAGAGAAACTAAGGAGGTGACCCTCACTCTGGTGGCAGACTGGTAAGCTATCCAAAAAAAAGAGGAAGAAGATGAGGCGTAAAAGAAAGCAACAGAAGCGGCTGCTGGAGGAGCGGCTGCGGGACTTGCAGAGGCTGGAGGCCATGGAAGCGGCAGTACAGGCTGAGGGTGAGGGGCCAGAGAGGGCACTGGGTTACTAAGCATGCAAGTGGAATACAGGTCTCTGCTCAAGGTGCACTTCTGCCCCTTCTCCCCAGACTCCGGCTCAAGATTAGAGCGGGGCAGCGGCTCCACCTCTTCTTCAGGCTGCCACCCAGAGGCCACCAGGGCTGGCCCCTCTCCAGCCTCTTCTTCCCCTGCACCTGGGGGTGACCGCAGCTTTAGTCCCAGTTCACAGACCTCAGGTTTTTCGGGGTCTCTGTTCTCCACGGCTTCCTGCTCCATCCTCTCAGGCTCATCTAATCAGCGTGAGACTGGGGGTCTTCTGTCCCCTAGCAGTAAGTTTGGGGAACAGTGGGTAGTGGATAGTCGGGGCCAGAAAGAGCAGGGCCAGATCAGTTTCTCTTCTGCTTCTTTCCCCAGCACCATTTAGTGCTTCCAACCTTCTGGTGAACCCCCTGGAGCCCCAAAATGCAGACAAGATCAAGATCAAGATTGCAGACCTGGGCAACGCCTGCTGGGTGGTATGCTGAACATTTTGGAATAAGAGTGTTTGGTCTTGGGGAGCCCTACTCTAGACCTCTGGTGTGGCCTAGGACTCACGGAGCCAGCAGTCTCCTTGACTATAGCTGGCAGAGCAACTTCTTTCTGTTTAAGCAGAAGAGACCTCCCAGGCCAGAACTATGCCCATGGCGAGAGACAGAAGCCACTAGGAAGGGGCTACCCTCAGGTCACCTAGACAGTCCCTCCTGTAACATCTGAAGAATTCTAAGAATCAGAGTGAGCTCCATGAAGCTCAGGTGCATGGACCAGAGGCAGGAGTGGGCTGTGGGGGAAGGCTAGTCTGGGCCCAGGCTCCTGTTCCAAGGGTTCCCTTTTCCTCCAGCACAAACACTTCACTGAGGACATTCAGACTCGGCAGTACAGGGCAGTGGAGGTGCTGATTGGTGCTGAGTATGGCCCCCCAGCTGACATCTGGAGCACAGCATGCATGGTATGCTAGTCCAGCTGCCTCCATGCCTAGGACCTGCCATCTGCCATAGCCTCACTTCTCCCCCTTCCCTTCCAGGCTTTTGAGCTTGCCACTGGTGACTACCTGTTTGAGCCTCACTCTGGAGAAGACTATAGTCGTGATGAGGGTAAGGGACACAAATCCTGGCCTTGGCTTTAGGATCTCCAGCTGCCCCACCCTGACTCCCAACCTTCTCTGGCCTACAGACCATATTGCTCATATCGTGGAACTTCTGGGAGACATCCCACCAGCTTTTGCCCTCTCAGGCCGCTATTCACGGGAGTTCTTCAACCGCAGAGGTAAGGACCAAATAGGTAGGCTTAGGCCACAGGGGCTAGGAGAGCAGAGAGAAGGTTAGGGACCTTGATTCTGACAGAGAGAACACTGGGGACACAGCCTAATGTTGCCCACCCTCCAGGACAGCTGCGGCACATCCACAACCTCAAGCACTGGGGCCTATATGAGGTACTCATGGAGAAGTATGAGTGGCCCTTGGAGCAAGCCACACAGTTCAGTGCTTTCCTGTTGCCTATGATGGAGTACATCCCCGAGAAGCGGGCCAGTGCTGCTGACTGCCTCCAGCACCCCTGGCTAAACCCCTAGATCTCACTGGAGCTGTGGACAGCAGGGGCTGTGCAAGCTTTGCCCTAGGTCACAGTACCTTGAGGGAAAGCAGGCAACTTCTATCACCCTGTGGGAACTGCTCCTCCACCCTGCTGGGTGCTATTGTGCTCGTTCCTGCCCCATGACAGGACAGAAATGCTGGAGCAAGTTCCACATCTCAGCCAGTCCACTTGTGATCCTTCCAGACGGTCTTGAGTGGGAAAGAGTGCCTGTTTCTTTCTTAATAAAGTGGGAACCAAAACACTGGTGTCCTGGCATGAAGGAAGCACATGGCCAAGTTCTGGGGCAGAAGTGGCTTTATTCTGGAGCATGTCCACCAAGCTAGCAGGAGTGCTAGAATGAGAAGGGGGGTCCTATGGACAGGTTGAGATAACTGCAAGGATAATTAAGCTTCCACAGCCCGGCCATTAATGATGCGGATGTGACGAATGATGTCCTGGATGGCTTGGGATGTGGTACCTTGGCCTCCAATGTCTGGAGTATGCATCTGGAAGAAAACAGGAAGCTTGAACATATCAGGGCAAAGTCTGCCACAACCCCATGGTGATCAGGGCTACCTACTGTTTCCAATAGTTGGAAGTGCAAGGAGCTGGTACTAGGACCACCCTTCCGTTACAGGCCATAGCCAGTGCTGGTCTCTGGCTGGAGCATATAGGACTTGTCAGACCAATATAACATGGGCTACAGGAGAGGAAACTGGACATGGGACAAAGAGTAGACAAGAGCCTTACATTTTCATTGTCCATGGATGCTAAGACAGCTTTGCGGATGGAGGTGGCATAGGAGTGGAGCCTAGGGGATGAAGAGAACAAGCTTTTGGTTGTTCTCAGGGCCTAGAGGCTGGCCAGAGGACTCATGACTAGACATTAAGAAACCACTTACTTGAGGTGGTCTAGCATCATGCAACTTGCTAGCAGTGTGGCAGTGGGGTTAGCAATGTTCTTATTGGCAATACTTTTGCCTGTGTTCCTTGTAGCCTAGAAAAGGAAAGAAGTGAGTACGTGGGAAAATGGAAGAATGCATAGCAGATGATTCTACTTGTATAGAGGCATATTCCAGACACAAAAAATGAAGGCATATTAGGGATTGGGAGAGGGAATGGGGATGCTCATGGGTCTGTGTTTCCTTTAGAAACCTTTAGTCTTAAGCTACACAACACTGTGGGATACCAACTATGACATAAGGCCACTACAAGAGAAAGAGAAAGATGGCAGAGTTGTGCCTAGCTACTCACTGTCTCAAATACTGCATACACATGGCCATAGTTGGCCCCAGCCACAAGGCCTGGGCCTCCAACTAGCCCTGCGCAGACATTGTTGACAATGTTACCATAGAGATTAGGCATCACCATGACATCAAACTGCTGAGGCCTGGATACCAGCTGTGGGAAAAAAGTGAGCTGAGTTGTACAAGCCATGAGAACCAAGGGTGGGCAGACGCTAGGGAGCCAGCTGGGCTGATTACCTGCATTGTTGTGTTGTCCACAATCATGCTGTCAAAGGTGATCTGCGGGTAGCGTGCTGCTACTTCCCTGCAGCACTGGAGGAAGAGCCCATCACCCAGTTTCCTAGATGATAGGAGGGGGTTGGGGATACAAGACACCAGATTGGCCTCTCACTACAGTCAGCTGGAGAGTCAGGGTATACAGAGAACCATGGAACCCTGAGGACTGTCCTCCATATGGAAAAATAAGCATAATCCCATATATCTCACTATAGTAAGGACACAGAGCCTCAGGGACAATATGATACAGTCCTAAGTGTGGCCCCTGATACCCTAGATCCTGCAGGTGGACCTGAGCAGGTTCTTCCAGCTACTTTGGAGCTGTTCAAAGTAGGCAGAAAGGTATGAAGTAGACATACATGATGTTGGCCTTGTGCACAGCCGTTACTTTCTTACGCCCACTCTCCTGGGCCAGCTTGAAAGCATATTCAGCAATGCGTAGGGACTTGGCCTTGGTGATAATCTTCAAGCTCTCCACCACTCCTGCTACGCTCTGAAAAGAGGGCAGTGAACAACAAACAGCTTAATGGGAGCACAACAGGATGCATGCAGCCTTATCACTGAGTATATCTGGCTTTTCCAACCCCTTGAGTGGGGGGTACCTTTTCCTTGTTTCTGAAGCTCTCTCAACTCTGACCCTGGCTGTAATCACTACTACCTACCAAAGAGGATCAAGTAGGTTTGCCTACCTCATGCTCCAGGCTGCTGTACTCTCCCTCTGTGTTTTCCCGCACAATGAGGATGTCTATGTTCTTGTGCCGGGTCACCACTCCTGGCAGGCTCTTACAGTGGATAACATTGGCATAGAGGTCTAGGCTGGTACTGGGAGGGAGACAGGGAGAAAGTCAAACCAGACTTAACTTAGGTTCATCAATGGCAGCACAGCCCTCCCTGGCCTTCACTGAGCCACTGCTCTGTGAACATAGCTCTCACCGAAGGATGTTGTTTCGGGATTTGTGGGATGGTGGCAGGTTATGATTTGTTTCGATGTTGCCTACAGGACAAAAACAAACAAGATAGATAAGCTAGAGAGGGATCCTCTGGACTCAGCTGCATTGCCATAGCCCCCTATCTGGCCCAGGGAATGCTCGCCAAAGTTTGATCCAACTGAAGAAGATTGTTTTCAGGAGCAAAATACTTCCTCAGACTGTAGGATGTAACTGCCATTGTGAGGTCCATGAGGTTCAAGTGTGTGTGTGGTTGGGGGTGTGTGTGTGTGTGTGTGTGTGTGTGTGTGTGTGAGAGAGAGAGAGAGAGAGAGAGAGAGAGAGAGAGAGAGAGAGAGAGAGCAACCCATGATGACCTTGATAATTTCAAGAACTTTGACAAGCACCTGGCACATAGTAGATACTCAATACATATTTACTAGATAAATTAATAAATATGCTTGATAGCTAGCTAGCCAGGACACCCTGCCACTTACTACCCAGGCTTGTTTATGAATAAACTGTCTGGCCATGCTGGGGTGAACAATTTGACCTTGGTCAGGGTTATTGCCAGGACTCAAACTGAGGTGCTATCTACGCCCAGCTCAGAGGCAGGTGGAGGCTGCCTGAAAAGGGCCCCAACTAGGCCACAGCATGTCTGGGCCACAGTGCCCCAGATATCTAGAGGAAGGAAAACAGAGGCCCAGTGAGGCCAGTGAGGTAGTATCTTCTAGAAGGTGATTAGTAGAAAAGCCTTTTTTGGCAGCCAACCAGAACCACCTCCCCCACCCAACTTTCAAGCTGTTCCCTGCCCAGACTGACTTGACCCAAAGAGCTGTGGCTCATATAAGGCCTATTAAATGCCAACATATTCCTCATAAAGAACAATGGATGGGTTAAACTTCATAGAATAATTAATTTAACCTGCAACCAAGGCAAACCCCAGGAAAGATTGTTAGAATCATTATGTATAATGTCATGACTATGCCACTTGGAGCCAAGACAGCAGGCTGATAGGATATAAGGGTAGATTATTGAATCTACTCTGAAAAGAAAAAAAAAGAGGATATAGAGAAATGTGGTGATGTCTTGTTTATACTCTAACAAATAAAGCTTGCCTGAAGATCAGAGGGTGGAGGTAGCCACTAGTTAACCACAGAGGTCTATACAGACAGACAGGAAGTGAGATGGCTGGGCTGAGAGAGGAATAGACTTAGGAGGAGACAGGAGCTCACTCTCCTTTCAATCTGAGGATTTGGTAGAGATAAGAGCTCTAGTGCTGCTGCTCTGCTTCTCTGATCCTTCAGTTTTCACTCCCTAATATCAGACACTGGGCTGTTACTATTAAGACCTATTAGAACTCATGTTACAGCAGGCAGGAAGGCAAAGTACATATCCTTAGTTTGTGAAGAAAAGCTGTGGGTCAAAACAGATCCCAGCAGAGGCATGCCTCAGTGACGGAAGAGGTGGGAGGAAACCACTGAGCAAGCTCACACAGGCCATTGAAATAACAGAACCATGTAGTCAACATGCCCACAGAAGCCTCTACCCAGATGCCAAGAATAAGAGTCATCAATAACCAGAAAAATCCCTGAAATTGGAACCATGAGGACACACAAAAGTCAGTATATAGGCAAAAGGGATTATGTATAGCACCCCAACCTGACCCGAGCTCACCCTTCAGGGCTACACGGTTCCGGCGGATGGCCATGATGGCATTTCGGATATCCTCCTCATCAGCGTTGGAGCTCACATGCACCTCTTCAAAATCCACTGGCACACAAGCATGCCTGCAGTAAAGCCAGGCTAAAGAGGCTGACCTTTCACACCCCTCCTGAAGCCTTTATCAGTCTTTCTCCTGCTGGCTTCCCACCTTGACCTGGCTCCAGCTAAGAGGGAACTGGACCCACCCAGCCAAACATGGGGGGTGGTGGTGGTGTCACACTTAACTTCCACAGGATTGGTGCCACTTTCCTTGTGCCCAAATCAGCCTAGCAGGATGAGAAACATTGGGAAACAAGGCCTGGGTTTACAGACAGGGTTTTATGCCACCACCCCATTAGGTACTTGGGTAAAGCTGGTGGGCTTCTGAGTTCCCTGTGCATCTTGACACAAGGTTCTTGGGAGCTTCTAGCTTAGCATGGAGTACAACCCTCCCTGGGAGAGAAGGTAAGGGAGGAAGGTCTAGGCCCTCCATACCTGAATACTGATTTAACATGCAACATGAGCTCCGGACCAATGCCATCCCCTGGGATCATAGTCACTGTATGCCGCCCACCATACTTAGCAGATGGAGGCTAGAAAAAGGGAGAAGGTAAAAGTGAGCCCTTGGGTACACCAATGTACCCAGTTCCCTTCTTCCCAACAGTACCAATCCCACAGGCTAGCCAAGGCAAGCTTGCTGTTATGGGGCTCACGATCAGCAGCCATCACCACCACCCCAAGCCCACCTGGACTTGGGTTAACCCCAAAGCAACTAAGAGCCCCTCAAATCTAATACAGAGAATACTCACAATTGTTTGTTGCTAGAGGGAAGACAGAAAAGAAAAAGACATGGATCAGCCAAGGTTGGAGAAACAAGGCTGTGGCCAGGGAACTAGGTTCTTTTCACTGGGGATTCTGTCTAGCACAACTCAGAGGCAAGGTATGAGTGAGTGACCTCTGGAGACTATGCCTCAAAGGGAAGGACAGGAGGGCCATGGAACAACATACAGTCATGTGTGCATGGGCACATATACACATAGTACACATAGTCTCATATACATTATGTGTTCACATGGAAATACATGAGCACAGC